TGCTGGTTACACTTTTGTTTTAGATAATCTCAAAGCAGGAGATCTGCTGTAGGGTCTCAGACTGGTGAGACAATCAGACTTTAAAAATGGCTTCTTTTCATTTCCTGTTCATTTWTTTTCCGATGAGGTGAAGACTGCTTCTTTTTCTCTTTTAAAATGTTTTATTTTGACACAAGTTAGCTCGATTAGATCCCCAAAACAGCATATAAACTGTAGAAGGCAGGGAGAATATGATTGCATCTATATGTCGGCCTTTATTTTGAAGTTTCAGCTGTAAACACGATGCTCCAGTTGCTGTTTTTGATTGTTTCGATGGGTACGACGAGACGATACGTCTGTTCTGCTTCGTTTGGGAGAGCTTGTACAAATCAAGAATTTTTTTCTTTTTTCTTTTTTTTTTAATTGTGCAGCTACCAGGCTAGTGCCAAATGTTGATTATTGTCACACAGCGCAAAAAGATGCAGAGCTGCAGAAACGCAYGTTCTGTTCCCTGGAGCTCCAACAGGAAATACTCAACTTCCTTTTAATCTGAGCAACCATACAAGAACTGCCTTGAATACTCTGAGGGGAATAAAATACAAAATTATGAGGAAAAAAAAGACGAGTATTAATTGATTTTCAGTATTCATTTTATTTAGTATATACCAAATACCTTGATCACTCATCTTCTATGATTTATAATCAAATGTTATTATAGTATAGTTCAAAAAATATAGTTCTATTATTGAGAAAATTATTTAAAAAACAAAAAAAAGCATATGTTTTGGAGTGATGGTGAACTTTAAAAATATCTCTGTTTAACTGTCTTTTGTAAACACTTATTTTTCCATAAAATCTATTTTAGGTGTTGAGTGCCACAAAGTAAATAAACGATGATTCTTGTCAACTGACACAACAGTATGTACTTGTATTGTGTAAAAAAACAAAACAAAACAAAAAAACATCACAGGGAAAAACTTTTTCAAAATAAACCGAAAGGCTTATTACAGGTTWATTAAAGCAAGGAGAGTCTTCAGGGTGTGGAGGGGGGTGGATTTTTTWGGAGTATTTATGTATCAGAATGAGCTGACAGGCGGAGTGAGCAGGTGTTTTATTTCAAACTTGTGTCATTTACTTCTTGCCTATTTTTGAAAAGTTGGCTCTTTTCATCTGAGTAGCTTGTGTGACATGTTCTCTCTGCTTACTTGGCATGATGTTTTAGGCACCCAGTGATCCGGTGGGAATGGAAGTGTGTGTTTATTTTATTTTTTAAAAATATAAAATAAAAGACATCCTGCTGCTTGGTGCAGAAGTCAAATATTGGGTTTGTTACTCCCTTGCTTAACTGCTTCATGACTATTTAGATGGCCTCCAATGTGTTATTTTTTTGTTTTTGTTTTTTTGTACAATGTTCTCCTAATGGGACTGAATTATAGGCTGAACTTTTCATTCCTGCCTCGCTGTCTTTCCCCAGAAACGACCTATAATCAGTCACGTCTCTGTTTTGTCTCAGACTTGAGCTGCACGTTTGATTTGTATTTTTTATTTTTATTTTTGTACCGTTCGCAGCTCRGTGAGAGGAGCGTTCGTTTCTGTTCTCCCTGACCCTCAGGTTATTCCTCGTGGATGTGGTGACATGTGGCTTTGCGTCCATTGACTACACATCCCGCTCGCCCTGATTTGACAGGAAACGCCTCCCGTCAGGGTGGAAGGGTTCACGTTTTCGTGTAAATAGCTGCATCTTAAGGGTTTTTTAGTCCAATGCGTTTGTAGCCACACACTGCAATCGTCCCGGTTTGCCTTAGCTTATCTAACCTGGGCTCACGTTAGTCATCAGTCACTCCTGCTTCAGCCCGACCTTCAGAGAGATGGATGGGTGTGCAGCAGAGAGCTGCAGGCCATCAGAGGACCATTCTTTTTCTATTCTACACTGTATTTAGTTTCGCCTCCTATATGTGCAAAGATGTTTATCCTTTTGGTATAGATTGTTCCAGATGGCAGTTTAAGCAATAAAAAAGTAAAAAAAAATCTATTTGTGTCAGGCTTCATTTTTTTGAGACTTAAACTAGTTTCTACATCAAGCTGATGGGTAACTTTTGATGTTGCTTGTTTGAACTATAAAGATTTGCTCATTTTTATCCTCAACTGTCTCTCAGGACAGATTTAAACTAAAGTCATGATGAAAACTGACAAATGCAGCTGTTTCAGTCCAGCCTAATGAACCGTGCAATCTTGTGAGATGTGTTGATATTTAGTACCACATCCACTAAACCAGGGGTGCCCAAATATTTTCCCTGAGGGGGCCAAAATGAAAATCTATCCAGGGCAGCGGGCCAAACACAGAAATATAATACATGAAATACAAATACTTTTAAAGTAAAGTCCCTTATTTTTAACGATTAAGCTATGCAATGGCCCTCTTTTGTTTTAGTCTGTGCACTTGGGGAAAGTCTGCCATATGCTCAAGTAGGAAAGGATCATGGGACATTTCATAACTTGATGAAATATGAGTTTTTGTGGTCTTATAAAGTGTGCAACTCTACATGTGTGGTTAAATCTGAACAAAATATTTCTTGTCATTTCATGTCTCACGTTTAATCCTAAAAAAATCAAAGATAAAGTCAGCACCATGAATGAAAACTACCTTCACTACCTTTTATATATGTTTACTGCCCTTTTATATAGTCATTTGACCAATGGAAATACTGTGTATATACATAGGATAATAGGTTACAACCTTGTAACTTTGGCAACTGTTGGTGGGCCAAATCAAATGGCGGGCCAAATTTGGCCCGCGGGCCCCACTTTGGGCTCCTGCACTAAACTGTCCAGTTCATGGGATATTTCGCTAACAGACAAGTCAGGGTTGACTCCAACATTGATGCCAAAGTTTTAAGCACAGATGTGTGGAGCTCAGTAGCCAGTTGCACGAAAGTCAGAAATACAGGTTCTGGTCATAAAATTAGACTAACATGAAAAAGTTGATTTATTTTCCATTCAAATGAAACTTGTATATTACAATTCATTCATTACACACAGACTATTTCAAATGATTATTTTAATTTTGATGATTATAACTGACAACTAATGAAGATCTAAAATTCATTACCTCAGAAAAATAGATTATTACTTAAGACCAAATACAAAAAAGGATTTTCGGAAATGCAGGCCAACTGAAAAGTATGAGCATTTACCATTTTCGCAAGCCATTTTAGCATATAATCTTTTTCGTCTGACTATCTGTAATTACATTCTAGATATCTAAACATGAGTTTTGACTAGTAATAACTACATCTTGTCTATCCGGAATGTAAATTTAAGATATCTGTATTAACATTCTGACTAGTCATATTTCAATTTCAGATATCTGGAATGGAAGTGTCGTGAATCCGATTAAATGTTAAAACGGCCTGCCATACTCTTGCTACATTCAGCACTGACGCTGCTCAGTGACGTACTGGTGACGAGCCGGAAACACTGGTGTCGTGCCGGAGTAGGTAACCCCGAAATAATCTATCCCCACCAGCGGGGGGCGCCCGATTGTTATTTGACAAAACTACACAAAATGTACCACGGCAAAATGCTTTGTGGTCACAAAATGACAGCGAAACAACTCACTTACGGACCTATTTGTCTGCGTTTCTGCGTTTTATTTACAGAAATCATCATTTTATTTAGCAGAGCCGACAGTCGGGCGCCCCCGTCTGGTGGGGATGCAGATTATTTCGGGGATACCAACTTTGGCACGACACCGGAAGCCCGGGAAGTCGGATCACAACAATGCAATCACAACAAGCAATGGAGGACAAGCTGATCGTCGCTGTGTGTAACACCCCGATCATTTATGATCGGTCTAGTGTCCTTTACCGGGACAGGAATAAAAAGGAGCTGGCCTGGAGGAGGGTTAGCGAGGAAGTCGGCGCGTCAGGTAAGTTTAGCGAAAACCTTTGGCACCGTTTTGTCGCCCGGATGCATTTTTGAAGCACAGCCACAACGTGCGATGTGTTTGTTCAGTGGAAGATTGTCGGAGAAGGTGGAAGACACTGCGCGACACATATGCGAAGGTGGTGCAAAAAGTAAATAAAAGACGGAGTGGTTCGGCAGCTTCGAACGGGGAAAAGTGGAAGTACATGGCGGTAATGTCGTTCCTCCAGCCCTTCTTATCACCGAGGGAGACGAAGAGCCGCAAACCGGCCAGAGTCGTGAAGGAGCAGGCCGCAGAGGAGGAGGAAGATAGCTCGGTCCCGGGGCCCAGAGGTGGGTTCATCTACACAATATGCTGTTATTGCTGTTGTGGTTAGTTTGCTGAAGTGTTTTGATGACTTTCCTGACAGACTCGGTTGAATCTGGAGATGGAGCCATTCATGCTGACCCTGAAGACATCTATGGGCCGTTATCCAGTCCTGCCTCTTCTTTGCCATACTCTTCAGCTTCATCCGTGCGGAGTGGACCAACTTCAACAACACCAACTGGTGTGTACTGGTTATTTGTTCATTTCTTTTACTTGTGCATCTACATAACGATGTATCTGTATGACTAGGTGTGTATGTTTCAATATATATGTACACAAGTTGTTCTTATATGCGCACATATGTGTACTATGCTCTTTAGGTACATGTAGGTACGTACAGAAGCAAACGTGGACATAAGTAACGTGATGTGCAACCACGCGTACAAAACTTCGTAGGTCCATACTAGCGTGTTTCACTTAATAACCAAAATGTTTGTCAAATACGTATCGTCACAAATACACACCTATGTAGTGCTACACATGACTACACAGAGGCACATTCACAAGAACTCTTGTTTTTACCTCTATGTGCATATGTCTAAATGTGTGTACACATGCATGTATATGCACGTACACATGTGCGCACATATATTCGTTTCAGTGTGTTTGTGTGTGCGAATGCATATATCTGCACTCATTCACATGTATACATAGAGATATATATACATACATGTGCACACACGTTTATACGTAGATGTAAACACAKACATATATCTGTATATACTGCACAACTTGTTCTTAGCAAGTATTGCCCATTGGAATTACATTGTTCATATAAATTTATTGCACACCTACGATTACACGTGTTTAAGTGACAGTGTAACTATGTTGGTGATATTGTAAAGTGATTTTTCTAAAGTTATTACTGCATTAACATCATTTTGTGGAACAACTTTTACTTATTCATGTTCTATGTTCTTGTGTGTTTTCAAGGACCACAGCGGAAACGAGCCAAGTCAGGCCAGACGGACTCGTTGGAACCGACAGAGTTCGAACAGATGACGGTCACCCTGGAGGCCGAAGAACAACACAGAACACGAACAGTCTGTGAGGATGAATACTACCTGATGTCGTTACTTCCACTCCTGAAGAAGGTGCCAGCCGAGGCCAAAGATCTGGTGAAATTCCAGATACATAAGCTAATTTTTGAAAACACAAGAGTTGGAAATCAAAATAATATAAACCCGGCGATATCGTTGTTATTTCTTGAACAGGTTAGCAGATGTTAGCCTGTGCAGCATATATACAGAGTGGTACTCTGCTGAACCATGCTACAAT